GTTCTCAATGGCTGAGATTGTGGAATTTCTTCCAAGGCCCCTCGTGGTGCTGAGCCCGTTCACTGTTTGCAACCTGGTCCGCTTAGGGGAGCCTTGCTGTCGCCCACCATGGGTGGGCCATCGTCATGGCGCCCCTCAAGAGCAGAGGGGAGCCACTCAGGGGGTCTCCTAGACTGTACATCTTTCCGGAAGCAGACAATGAAGTCTTTTTGTTTACCTCCCACCGGAGGACGGCTGGTGGGGTCCAACGGCCAAGCTGCTGGTTCTCGGCTGGGCCGTTCAGCCAGCCAGGGACTCCAGCTTCCTGCTCTTCCTCTTTCTGCATCCCAGAAACCAGCTGGCCTCCACTGGTGATGAGGGAGGGGCTGCTCCCCAGGGCCTGGGCACCAGGAAGCCCCTGGGGCAGGAGTCATCCAGGTTGCAGTCACCTGACCACAAGGCTCAGGATTCTTATCTGCCCTGACCTTGTCTAGGCCCGCCACGCCCTCTTTCTGGTAAATGTCCTTTCCTACCCTCTCCCAGCCTGCTTTCCCCTTACCTCCTGCTGGTTCCAGGGTGAGGCCTCCAGGCAGCTTCTGCCTCTTGCTGCCCCCCGTCCCATCCGCCTTTCCCTCCAGCCTCTCTGACTCAGCAGGTCCAAGCCTGCCTCTACTGCCAGGCCCCCACCCCACCCCTTCCCTGGCCCCCCACTTTGGGGAGCTCTCTAGCACCCTTCCCCCCACCTCCCTGCCCATTTGAATTCCTAACTGTTCCTCCTTCTGTCCTCTTCCCTAGATCCAGGCCTGCCCCCTGGGGCTAGGGGAGGAATTGTCCAGATAAGGGCACGGGGGGCAAAGGGACACACCTGAGCTCCCATCTTGGCTCTGCCAACTCTTTGCTGGATAACCTTGATGAATGACCTTCCCCCCTAAGCCTGATTTTTCCAGGGTGTCCCAACACTCAGATTGCCCAGAGCAGCTGGGAAAGTTAAAGAGGGTAGTGAGGACTCCGTAGAAGGCAGTGGTCATTGGGAACCAGGGCCTCAGAGGCAGGAAAGACAGCGCTTTGGTGTGGCCCGTCTCTTCCCCTAACCTTTGCTGTGCCAGAAACGAGGCAGGACACACACTGTGATGCCAGCACCGCCTCAGGTCCCAGGTCTGGGCCAGCACTGAGCAGGAGACAACAAAAGCCGTGTCAGCTTGGAAGTTCCTCTCAGGTGCCATCTGGTCAGTTCAGTCCTAACTCATAGCAATCCTGTGTACAAACAATGGCTGGTCCCGTGCCCACTGTTACTGCCACGGGGTCAATTGATCTTATTGAAGGTGGTCTTCTTTTTCGCTGACCCCCAACTTTACCAAGCAAGATGCCCCGTTCCTGGGACTGATCTCTCCTGATAACATCGCTAAAGTATTTGAAACAAAGTCTCACCCTTGTTTCCTTCTTTCTTTCTAATCATTGTATTGGGAGCTCTTTTTGTGTGTGTGTGTATTGGGAGCTCTCAACAGAGACCATAACGTTCCATAGTTAATTCACATCAAGCAGGGTCGTATCATAATTTCAAAACATTGTCTGTCTTCCTGAACTCCTTGCTATTTGCTCCCCTGTATTCCCTCCCTCCCCCCACCAAGCCCCCCCAGGGACCCCTATTTTATTTTTTGCCATATCTTACACATCCAATATATCAATTACATACAATTCTGTTGTGGGATCCCATTGAGTGGGTGATACAGGCATCAGTGCTATCAGCTCCCTATCTCCCCCGCAGCCCATTTTTGGCCTTCCTTACACACGACCCAGCTTGTGCATGTATCTTGTTGCTTGGTGTTCGGTGCTGTCATCGATAGTTGTGCAACACAAGGAAACGCTGCCCCGTCGGGCACCATCCTCACAATGGTTCCTAACCTGGAGCCCATGGTTGAAGGCGCTGTGGCCATCCATCTCCTTGGGGGCCTTCCTCTTTCTGCTGCCCCTCTAGTTCACCAAGCATGATGTCCTTCTCCAGGGACTGGTCTTTCCCGATGACCTGTCTAAAGTTTGTGAGAGGAGGTCTCCCCATCCTTGCCTGTACGGAATATTCTGGCTGTACTTCTTCCAGGACAGACTGGCTTGTTCTTTGGGCAGGGCACAGTGCGTTCAATATTCTTTGCCAGCACCATCATCCAAGTGCACCAATTCTTCTTCGGTCTTCCTTATTGCATGCCCAACTTCCACATGAATAATAGGTGGATGAAAATGCCATGGGGAAAAAAAAGAAAGAAAACACCATGACTTTGGCTAGGAGCACCAAATGGTTTATGAATCCAGGAAAGGCAAAGTCAAAAGGAATGGAGTTTCATTCTTCAATAAAAAGAACATTTTAGGGTCTAGCTTGAAATTCAATGCTGTCAGTGATAGGAAACTATCGATACACCCACAAGGAAGACCAATTAATATGACTAGTATTCAAATTTATGCACCAACCACTCAGCCAGAGATGAAGAAATTGAAAAGCTCTACCAAGACCTGTAGCTTCAGGTGGAAGGAACAATGCAGTCTCTATGCATCCATAATTACAGGTGATCTGAGAGGAAGGACCAGCCGTGATGATAGAAATGACATTGGACATTACATGATAAAACTGAGTGAAAAAAAAATTTGTTTGCATTCAATTGAATTCAATTCGATTCAATGACTCCAAGTCCATTTCAATTTTACTTTTCTTTTTTTTTAATCAATTTTACTTTTCTCATTTTTCAAAAGTCACGCAAACCACTATTTGTTGAGAGATAAGGAATCTGGAGAGAATAGTTTTAGTTTTTTTATATATTTTTTTTAGTTTTTAAAGAAATATACTATTTATATTTACACAGCCCACCTCAAGAAATGAAATCAACAATATCCTGTTAAGCCCTCCAGAGCAGTCCTTTTTATTTTGTTTTGGTTTTGCAAGACCCGAGACTTACTCATTTCAGATACATTTTTTCCAGTTACGTATATAAATCCAGGCTATACATGTGGGCCTCATCGGATGGAATACCGGGGAGCCAGTAAACTACAGCTGTGGAAAGGGATGATGGAGAAGTTCAAGATCATCTGCTAAAACAAGTCATCCAGGGGCTGACACTGGGACAGGCGAGAGCAGGGTTCTCAACCTGTGGGTCGCGACCCCTTTGGGGGCCGAATGACCCTTTCACAGAGGCCACCCGATTCATAACAGTAGCAAAATGACAGTCATGAAGTAGCAATAAAATAAATTTTATGGTTAGGGTCACCACCCCACGAGGAGCTGTATGGAAGGATGTGGCATGAGGAAGGTAGAGAACCACTGGTCTTGAGGACCAACCCCTCCCAACGGATTGATGCCCACTCATGCCAACCCTATAGGGCAGGGTTGAACTGTCCCTGTGAGTTGCCAAGACTCTTCAAGGGGGTAGGAAGCGCCATCTTTCTCCGGAGGCACCATGTTTCCCCGAAAATAAGACATTGTCTTGTATTAATTTTCAAGAAGACATACCATGGCTTATTTTCGGGGGATGTCTTATTTTTATTAAGTATGGTACAACAATCTACATTGATTCAAATAGAGTGAAGTTGTTGTCTGGTGGAACATCGACCCACAGTGCTGAGTCGAACGGTAGCCACCGCTTTCCTTCTTCCCCCTGAGAACACACAATGCCTCAGCTTGCAGCATGCACAGAAGGTCCGGGACCAGACAGGGGAGCCGACCTTGTGGATGGGGCTGCCCGCACGTGTCTGGTCCCCTCTGAGACAGCAACTGTCACGACTGGGTAGATGAGAAGGGCTGCCTGTCTTCATGACCGCTCCATGCTGGTGCGCTGCAGAGCCATGCCTATCATTATGTCTTATTATCAGGGTGAGGTAGTTAGTTTATTGTGCCAACCTGGCTGATAAATACATGTGGGGTTAATTGAAGGGCGGAGAGATAAATGGCTCCGTGAGCCTCGCCTTTCGAGTTATCTGGTCTCTTGCTCTCTGATGGTCGGACCAGAGTGGAGCTGCCTTAGCCAGTTCCCTGCTTCAGCTGGCAAGGCTGACTTCCTGCAAGACATCCCTGAGGAGAAGCCTCATGGACCTAGCCCGATGCAGCCCTGGGAACAGGAGTAGCCATGTGGAGACCCCTGCCAGCGCTGAGCTGCTTACACATTCACTGACTCGGCTTTCCTCCTGCAGTCGGTGTCATTGTGTGTGTTTTGTGAGATGGAGGAGGACTTTGTGGATTGGTGTCGGACATATGGGTTAATGTTGGACTTGTGGGCTTGGGCAGCACTGGGTTGGGATGTTTTCTTGATGTGCACTTAACCTTTATATAATACTCTCTCTTATACACTAGTTTCTGTGGATTTGTTTCTCTAAATTACCCAGACTAACACACAGGGTATGGCTTATATTGCACAAATGCTTAGACATCCTGCTACGGTTTATTTTATGGGTATGTCTTATATTTGGGGAAACACGGGAGACCGAATCACGACAGACTGACACCGTGGCTGCAACTATGGGCTCAAACATTGGAATGATTATGAGGGTGGTGTGCAGGACTGGACAGCGCATCTTTCTATTGTTCGTAAGCTCACTATGAGTTGGAACCAACTTGAAGGCACCTAACAACAATAACAATAACAACAATCCTCACAACTGGACCAATAGGGAACATCATGACAAATGCAGAAAAAGTCCCAGTTGTCAGGATTTTGTCTTGCTGGGATCCACAATTCATACTCGTGGAAGCTGCAGTTCAGAGATCAAAAGACACACAGAGTCAGGTAAATCTGCAGCACAAGACCTTTTTAGGATGTTGTAAAGCAAGGATGTTACTTTGAAGACTCAGGTGCTCCTGACCCAAGTCAGGGTGTTTTCACTGACCTGATCTGCATGTGAAAGTTGGACATTGAATAAGGAAGGCCAAAGAAGTAGTACACCGGAATGCTCCTTAGAGGCAAGCAGATCCTCACGTACTTTATACACGTCATCAGGAAAGACCAGTCCTGGAGTTCCTGTCTCTGCCAAGGCCCAGTAAATAGCTTCCCAGCACCGACCGCACCCAGCTGCAGCCTGTATCATAACCGCCCATCAAGGGGCTGAGCCCAGCAGGCACGGCGCCTGGAGCTCTGTGGGCAAGAGGCGCCAACAGGAGCAGCCGGCCCCCATGACGTCTGGCCACAAAGGAATCTCTGCCTTCCTGGAATCAGACACCCTTTTCCAGTGGGTAGGGACCATCCACGGAACTGCTGGCACCGTCTAGGAAGACGAGGTGTCAGCTCTCCCTGGAGTTCCCCAGTGGCTCCCCTTACAGTGCGCCCACAGTGACGTTCCCGACACCCTGCCACCACCCCAATGTAGACACTCAGAGTCAGATCGGCCTGGACATCCTGAAGGACAAGTGGTCCGTCCTGTGTGACGTCAGGATTGTCCTCCTCTCCATGCAGAGCCTGCTGGGAGAGCCCAACACTGACAGTCCTTTGAACACACACCCGGCTGAACTCTGGGACAACCCCACAGCCTTTAAGAACGACCTGCTGGAAACTTAACAGGCAAGCCTCAAGCCAAAAGTCCTGACCGCGCCCCCCAACCTCCCACCTCCCACCCCATCCTTGTGTTGTCTTCTCTTCCACAGACGGTCTGTCCTTCCCTTGACTTCTGGGGAGAACTCTGTGTTCTTCTGGTGTGCTGCCATTTTTGTCTTGCTTGATTTTTCAATGAAGTCTCCATGTGCGCCCTTGTGATGAATATAGTCTAGAAATCACATTCGGGGGGGTTTGAAAAAAAAACAAACAAGGACCAGTGCCTAGGGAAGGACATCATGCTTGGTCAAGAAGGGCGGTGACCAAGAGGAAAGCCCTGAACAGGATGGACTGACCCAGAGGCTATAACAAGAGGCTCAGGCACGGGAACAATGGTGAGGGTGGTGCAGGACGGGGCAGCGTTTTGTCTGTTGGTTGAGTTAGGCAAGTGTCAGCTGGCCAGGTGGTCAGTTGCAGCAGGTTACAAGGAGGTCTATGTGGGGGCGTCTGGGGTACGCATGAGAGAGGAAATGGCACACATAGGCCTGTAGAAGTCAGAGGCTTAGGGGAGTGGAGGATCAGAGCCCTGTGGGCAGGAATCATTGGGGTTCTCCAAACACAGGGCCTTCCAGACCTGGGGGAGCACACCTTTTGCAGACCCCACAGCCAGTGAGAACATGAGCAGGCAGGCCAACCCTTGGGGGTTCAGTGGACCTGTGGACTACCTGAGGGATCAGCTGGTACTACCAAGCCCCCAGGAGCCTTCCAATTTGGCATGCTTAGGGGGTTCTGAGTCCCCAGGGTCCCCGCTCAACTCAGCCTCAAAGTCTGCCCTCCCTGGGGCCGAGGGTTGGCGGCGGGGGTGCCACAAGAAAAAGGCCCCTTCAGAAGTGGGGGATGAGCTTCAAGGGGACAATAGGGCTGTCCCTGAGCAGCTCATGGTGCCCTCCAGGCCCCGTTCTCTAGATTTCTCCTCCACGTTTCCTGCAATGGCTCTGAAGTCCATCGGATGGCAGCAGAAGAATGTAAAGATGACCCTCGACTGGTTCCGGGGGCCTGGCAGGGTGTGACCCCCATGTTAGATAGGTCTCCAGGTCCATCCGTGAGACAGGATGATCACAAGGGTGGAAAACTTGTCTTGGGAGGGCTGACAAGGTGCCGGGACCTCTCCGAACCAGAGGGTCCTAGGCAGAGGCGGATGGAACAAGGGACAGGCTCGGTGACTCTTGCCTCAGAGCCGCGGGACCTTTGCCTACTCAGAGCCGCTGCCCTCTGGCCAGCTGGTTCCCACGACCCTCGGACTCCTACTAGGCAGGTTCAGACAGGCCTTGGGTTGTCCAGTGGTCAGAAATGAGGCCTGGTGTATCTTCACAACCAGGCACCTGTATGGTTTCCACCAGCCTCTTTTCTGGTCCTGTTTGTTTCAGCTTCCAACCCAGCACACAGCCTACCTATCTAAGCCTCCAGCTTCTCAGGGGCTCCCAGCGGGGAACCAGTCCCCTAGCGTTGAGAATTGAACCAAAGGTTCTGTATACCTGAGCTTCTCAGAACCACAGATGAAGGAACAGAGGCTCGGAGAGGCCACCTAAACTGTTCACCAGCCCATTAGGGTTCAGATTCAGTCAACCTGTTCCCTTAAGCCCAGTGGCCCCATGATTCTCTGTCTGTCTCCTCCTGGGCCTTCTGTCATCGATTCGATGGTGACTCACAGTGACCCTAGAAGGCAGGACCCTGCCCCTGTGAGTGTATCTCTTTATGGGAGGAGAAAACCAAATCTTTCTCCTCTGGAGTGGATGGTGGTTTCAAACTGCTGACCATGCAGCTCGGGGCCCAAAGCGTAACCTTTAAGCCAGCAGAGCTCCCTGCCCTCAGGGCTTACTCTTCCAGTCACTGAGGAGGCCTGCAGGGAAATAGGACTTGGGGGAGGGGAACGAGGTTGTAGGAAGGCTGAAATGGGATGTTAGACTCCTCAGACCTGTCACCATCCGAGGTCTCCTGGAAGAATGGCCCTTGTGGGATGCGGGGGGACTGGGGGATCCCAAGGGTGGTCTGCAGAGGAGGGCAAGGTGAGATGACATTTCCTGCTCACCCTGAATCTAGGGACTCCTGGCCGGATTGTGCAGGTGGTGGTGGTGGTGGTGGTGGGAGGTGTTCTCAGCTGGCGGTTCCCACAGGTGCATTCAGGCTGCCCCCTGGTGGTGGCATGTAGAAGCATGGAGACTTACTTGCCTTGTTCTTTGGACACTGCATGTTCCCAATCCTGCCCTACTGCCCTCTTCCCCCAAACATGCCATGCCTCATTACTCCCATGCCACCCCAGGGCCGTGGATTCTTTGATGGTGCAGGATGCCCTCCCTCGTCCTTAGCACGGCCACCCACATCCTCCATACCCCTGGGGTGTGCCCTTCTTTCTGATAGGCCCTGTGGTCAGAATGACCAAACTCCCGGTCATTGGGTGGAGAGTCTCTGACTCATGGTGACCCTCGAAGGACAGGGTCGAATCAGCTCTGTGGTTTTCCAAGACTGCGGCTTTTTACGGGCGTAGAAAGCCTTGTCTTTCTCCCGCGCAGTGGTCAAGCACTGTTCCATCAGGGCCTCTTTCTGCCAAGGACGTGCTGCTGTGTGCCATTGTATATATGAAGGAACAGGGTGCAGGCTGAAATCTGACCCCAGCCCAGGACCCACACCCAGACAGCAGTAGCAACGAGCTTCTTCACGCACCCAGCCCAGCTATCGAAGACCTGCTCTGTACAGACTTCAATCACAGTGTCCTGGTGTGTGCGGAGTTCTTGGTAAAGTAGAACCTGTTGCCATCGAGTCAGTTTTCAACCCATGATGATCCCCCGTGTGTTCAAGGGTGGAACTGGGTGCTGTAGGGGTTTCTTGGCCTTTCCCAAACCAGTTCTCACTAGGCTTTTCTTCCACAGTGGGTGGAGGTGCCCTGGTGGCATAGTGGTTATGCATTGGGCTGCGATCCACAGGGAGAAGGATGGGGCTTTCCACTCACAGAAAGAGTTGCAGACTTGGAAATTCAAAGGAGCCTTTCTGACCCTGTCCTATAAAGTTGCTACGAGGCAGCATCTGCTCGACGGCAGTAAGTTTGTGTTTTGTTTTGTTTTTGCCACTGTGTATATTGGAAAGAACATCTAGCCTTTTGACTAGTAGCCAGATGCAAAGCATTTATGCCACCCAGGGACCCAGCACACATTTATTAAGGATATACTATGTGCCTGCCCCAATCATCTGCCAGTTTGTTGTATTGTGAGGGCTTGCATGTTGCTGTGCCATCGCGATGCCACAGGTGTTTGAAATACCCAAAGAGCCATCCATGGTGAATAGGTTTCAGCGAGGCTTTGGGACTAAGAACAGACTACAAAGAAGGGAAAGGCCGTCCGCCTCCGAGGGATTAGCCGCTGACAACCTTACGAACAGCATCTGAACAGTTTGATACAGTGCTGAGCGACACGCCTCTCAGGTTCGATGGCACTCAAGATACGACTGAGGAAGAGCTGCCTCTTCAAAGGCGGAGCCTCATTCAAATGAGAACAAACAGGTGCAGGCATCACTGGCTAACTAGAAGGTGGACTGTGTGAACGAAGTGTGAGTCTAGGAAAATTGGAAGTCATACAAAACGAAATGGAGCGTGCAGTGATCACTGTCTTAGGCATTCGTAAGCTACACTGGGCTGATATTGGCCATTTTGAATCATAGTAAATCACAGGGTTTACTACGTTGGGGATGCCAAGTTTCTGAAAGGCCGCGGTGTCCCAGTCATCTGCACAAAGAACATTTCACAAGCGATCCTGAAGTACAGTGCTGCTGATGACAGGATAATTTCCGATATAGCCTGCAAGGAAGACCAATTTATCCAACTCTCATTCAAATGCAAGCACCAGCCACTAATGTGCTCCCAATCCCGGACATATCCCCAGATAATGATAAATCAGTAAATCCAGTCATAAAGTGAAGAATTCTATCAACTACTGAAGTCTGACATGGATCAAACATGCAATCAAGATGCCTTAATAACAAGGGCTGATGAGGGAGGGGGGAGCGGGGACGGAGGGGGAAAATGAGGACCTAATGTCGGGGGTTTAAGTGGAGAGAAAATGTTTTGAGAAACGATGTACAAATGCGCTTTACACAATTGATGTGTGTATGGATTGGGATAACAGTTGTATGAGCCCCTAATAAAATGAAAAAAAAAAAAAGACTAATTACTAAAAAAAAAAAAAAAGATGCCTTAATAATTACTGGCCATTAAAAAAATTACTAGCTATTGAAATGCAAAGGTTGGAAAAGAAAAAGAGGCGGGGGGAGGAGCCGATATTAAGGGCTCAGTTAGAAGGCACATGTTTTGAGGATGATGATGGCAGCAAATGTACAAAAGGGCTTGACACAATGGGTGCATGGATTGTGCTAAGAATTGTACGCGCCCCCAATAAAATGATTTTCAAAAAGAAAAAGAAAAAGAGGAAGGATCAGCAGTTGGAGAATACGGCCCTGGCGATAGAAATAAGCTGGAGATCACATGACAGAATTTGGCAAGACTGGTAACTTCATCGCAAATACCTTTTTCCTAACCATCTAAATGATGGCTAATTACATAGAGCTTATCTAATGGAATACATAAGGATCCAAGGGACTACATCTGTGGGAAGGGATGATGGAGAAGCTCAACACGAGGACCCCAAACAAGGCCAGGGCCCTTCTGGAGCAAATGTGCGCGGGCAAGTGCAGTTTGAAGCTGAAGGAAATGAAAACAAGTCCCTGCGAGCCAAGATCGATCCTCCCGCCGGCATGTAGAGGTCCTCTCAAGGCCAGGTTTGATGCACTGGATACTAATGATGGGGTGACATTAAGAATATCCTGCATGAGGAAAACACCAGGTGGTTAAATAGACAGGGGGTAAAAAGGACCAAAGTGCATGTCAGAAGAGACCCTGAAACTTGCTCTTCCATGTAGAGTGGCTCCATCAACTGGGAGACATTCTGACATGAAGAGATGAACAAGAATATTTCAAAAGGCAGCTCAAAAAGTCAAAGGGAAGGCATGATCATGAAGTGGTGCACAGACTTGGCTTTAGACCATCAGAAAAGGGTACACTCAGCCCATCTCAAGCAGAAAGACCCGAGGAAAGAAATGCAGCCTGGGGCTTGCTGACTGGCAAAACACGGAAGGGGTTTTGCATCACGGAAGGATTACACAAAGAGTCACTCTGTGAGAAAGAGTGGGTTGACCTGGGAGCTCAAGACCATAGTCTTGGGGGACCCGAGGTCAGTTGCTAAAACATACTTCACAAAGACTATGTTCTACATTCTACTTGGGTGAGTAGAGCCTGCGGTGTTTTGTTAGGTGCCATCGAGGTAGGCGCCCTAGCGGACCCTATGCGTCCTGTCCTGGTCTCATTCCCACAATTGTCCCTATGCCTGAGCCTGTTGTACCCACAACAACGGAGGAAGTAGCTGCTGAAAATCTAATGCAGGGGTCCTCAAATTTTTAAACGGGCCAGTTCACTGTCCCTCAGACCCATTGTTGGGCTGGACTATAGTTTAAAAACAATCTATGAACAGATTCCTATGCACACTGTACATATGTTATTTTGAAGTAAAAAAAAAAAACACAGGGAAAAACACCCAGCAGCCGGATAAATGTCCTCGGTGGGCCGCATGTGGCCCGCGGGCCGTAGTGAGGACCCCTGATCTAATGCATAGCTTCGAAACATTGTCAGCTACCGAAGGCCTCACGAAAGGAGCAGAAACGAGGGTCTTAAAAAACTGTGAGCAGCCATCTAGAACCTCGGGAGCAAAGAAGGGTGATGAAAATCCAAAGAGATGTGGAAACAGTCGGTGAACATCTGCCTCAGTCATTCTGAGACCAGTACAACTAGAGGGTGCCTGGCTACCACCACTACCAACTGCTCTGGAAAGAATCATATCAGAAAACTCTGGATTGAGTGGAAGAAAAATAGGGAACAGAACTCAAAAATCAAAAAAGAGACCAGGTTTACTGGTCAGATAGAGCCTGGTGGGATCTATCCCCGCCCCGCCCCCATTCCTGCTCCCATCAGGGTGCCCCTTAGTCACCCTTCAGGTCTGGCACTGAACTCACCTTGGAGTTAGATCAAAAGGGTAGCATTTACCTAAGGACAAAGGACAAAGGATTAGGAAAGGAGGAGAGATGGAAACAGGAAGCACAGAGGAAAACGGGATAAGCGACAGTACTGTGAGAGGATGGACGAGACGGATGGATTGAAACAAACTTCACATTGTCCACACTGTCAGATGCCAAACTGATGACCTGCTCAGAATGCCAAACTAATGATCCGTTCTGTAAGGCCTCACCTAATCCACAGTAAACAATGTGAAAACAAGACAAAACCAAACACCATCAGCATTCAATCATTTCAATAGGGTAGATTATGATCAAGAACCCATGGGATTGAAGAATTGAGTTCAAGCTGCACTGAAGGCTTAAGAGAAGAATGAGGTTCCAGGAATGGACTGTTTTCCAAGGGAAATATTTGAATAAACTGGGTTAGCCCTAGAAGTACTCACTACTAGTCCATGCCAGGAAAACTGGAAGACAACTCCCTGGCCTGGAAGAAATCCATATTGGTGCCCATTCCAAAGAATGATGACTCATCAGAATGGGGAAACGATTGAGCAATATCATTAACATCACTTACAGGCAAAATTCCCTTCAAGGCCATTCAAAAATGGTTGCAAGCGTACATGGACAGAGAGCTACCAGAAATTCAGGGTGGATTCAGGGGAGGACGTTGAATGATAGCCTTGCTGATGTCAGGTCGATAGATCTTGGCTGAACACGGAGATACAGCTGTTTACCTGCGTTTTACTGACTGCCGAAGACATTGGACGAAGATGATAACAAACTATGACTAACATCGCAAAGAATGCAAAGAACACTTCATTGTGCTCGTGTGAATCCTGTACATAGACCAAGAGGCAGTCGTTTGAACAGCACAAGGAAAAGCAGCAAAGTTAAAAAAAAAATAAAAAAAAGGAAACGCGTGTATCAGGCTTGTATCCTTTCATCGTACTTATTCAATCTGTACGCTGAGCAAATAATCTGAGAAGCTGGGCTATGGGAAGAGGAATGTAGCACCAGGATTGGAAGAAGGTTTATTAACCATCTGTGATAGGCAGGTGGCACAACCTGGCTTGCTGGAAGCCAGGACTTTAAGCACTTGCTGACGGCCAAGGACTGCAGCCTTCAGTATGGATTACAACTCAGTAAAACAAAAAGAAAGAAATCCTCACAATTGGATCAATGGTGAACACCAGGATAAAAGGAGAAAATACTGTAGTTGTCAAGCATTTCAATCTTGCTTGGATCCACATCGGTGCCCGTGGAAGCAGCAGTGAAGAGATCAAATAAGAGAATAAAAAAAGAGAGAGAGACATCAGTGGACTCACTGCACTGGGTAAATCTGCTGCACGAGACTTCTTTAAAGTGTTGAAGAACAAGGATGACCCTTTGGCTAAGCTGCACCGTGCCACACGGTATTTTCAATCAGTTCACATGAATGTGAAAGTTGCACATTGAAGGAGATCAAAGAATGGTTGCATTTGGATTACCACCTTGGTGAAGACCATTCACAGGGCATGAACTTCCAGAACGAACATCTGGCTCGGAGGAATACTGCCAGCGTGCCCCTTAGACACTTTGCCTCCGGTCCTTCAGACGTGGTATCAGCAGAGACAAGTCCCCGGAAAAGAGCATTTTGCTTGGTTGAAACGGAGGGTCAGGGAAAAAGTGGACGACGCTCTCCGTGATGGACTCAAACATATACAACTGTGCGGGTGGCGCAGGACCGGGCAGTGGTCCGTTCTGTTGTGCATCGGGCCGCTATGAATCAGAACCGACTGGACCACGCCTAACAGTATCACCAACTGAAGCAAAAGTAGCTTATGCCATTGGAGTGGAGCGAGAGGGAGGATTTTCAGTGAGTGTGAGGTACGAAGGTTTTGACTCTAAACGTTTGTGGGAAAGTAGAAGAAAAAGATACTGGAGCTGGGGGTGGGGGAAATGATGGAATGCTTCCACAAGCTCTTTGAAATTTCCTCCTATATCACCTTTCCTACACAAAAGAATATTCAATGAAGAAAATGAGTCAATGACCTTAATGGTTCCAAACATCCCGAAATTCCCTTGATCGCTTCCTCACAATGGGTGCTCTCTCAATATAATCCGCTCTTGCCCAGGAACTCATGCTGCATCCAATTGCCTATTAAGTGAATGTAGCAAGTAAGTGCTAGTCCTGACAGCCCACTCTCACTTCTTGTCCATTAGAAATAGTAGATTCCCAAGAGTCTTTGGGACATAAGCAGATTCAATGACAAGGGAGGAAACCACAGGAGAGAGATGTGAATGAAGATGGTGATTGTGAGCACCCAGGTGAGCACGCATAAACATTGTCCTGCAGTGGAACTGTCATCATTGTTAGCAAGTCCCCTTCTAACGGGGTCCTTGCTTTTCCTTGGCTGCTGCCTGCCTGGCATCTACGGGTCTTTATTTGGGACACTTGGTGCCTGTTTAGTTGATGGCACATGTACTTGCATTGCTTATTAGGTCACCTGTCCCTGCATAAAAGGAGCCCTGGTGGAGTAGTGGTTACACATTGGGCTTCTCACTGCAAGGTCAGCAGTTCAAAACCACCAGCTGCTCCTGGGGAGAAAGATGGGGCTTTCTAGACCTGTAAAGAGTTATAGTCTTGGGAACCCACAGGGGCAGTTCTACCCTATCCTACAGGGTTTGTCGTTGTTGTGTTTTTTAAAATCATTTTATTGGGGGCTCGCACAACTCTTACCACAATCCATACATACATACATCGATGGTGTCAAGCACGTTTGTACATCTGCTGCCATCATCACTCTCAAAACATTTTCTTTCTACCCTACAGGGTTATCATGAGTCTGCATCGACTTGCTGGCAGTGAGTCTGGTTTTAGGGTCCCTGGATATGCCAAGGTGGCTGTGATAGGTTATATGCTAACCTGGGTGGCCCAAGATGTTCCCGTGCTATGGTTTACCAAAGCATGGTGAACTCTAAGATGGAATTTTCTCGGAAGCAGTTAATCTGGTCACCAAATGAAACTGAACCCATTGCCATCAAGTTGAAGCCAACTTAGGGTGACCTCACAGGGCAGGGTAGCACTGCGCGCCTGTGAGTTTCTGAGACTTTACCCCTTCATGGGAGTAGAAAGCCCCATCTTTCTCTCTCAGAACCGCAGGCTGGTGGTTTCAAACTGCTGACCTTGCAGTTAGCGGCCCAACTTGTAACCATTATGCCATCAGGGCTCCTCATCCGAGGACAGTCGTGAGCCAATTGAGGGCGGTTTAGTGGAGGTGTAGCCTAGTCTTAGTATAGAGGAGACTGACAGTGAGCGGAGGTTCGCTCATTTCTACTGCTCACTTTTGCATGTGGTTCCTTATACGCTTCCTGCCTTCAGGCCCAGAGATAGTGTGGTGGGACCCTTGGGACTCAAATCCACCCACCTCCCACAGACCAACCTCCCAAGATCCAACCTTACTCGTCTCTTCCCCCAGGATTCTGGCTCTTGGGAAAACACTGAGCCTGAGACAGGAAAATCACATTCGGATCACTTATTCTTTCTTTTTTTTCCCCGCCCCCAAGGTGAAGATGTTTCTTGAGATCGTCATACAAGGAAACGGATGAATAACGTTACACCCTTCGAGAAAACAACACAGGATGACCACAGAAAAAAGCACTTTTCAAAATACTTGTCATCGGTACCAAGGACGTAACAGACTGTTTTCTCTTAAAGATGAGTCAGCTTAGACGCTAAGCCCTGTCGAGGGGGAAGGGACGTGTGTCTTGGGCTAGTACTTCGGGGCGCTTGGGACAAATGGTGCTGGTTGCAATTGAGGAGAGGAGGAGATGGGCATGGTGAGGGTCTTTGGGCTTGCCAAGGGCTCTTGGGCTGGGCAAGGGATTCTGCCACAGGTTCGACCCCCAAATCCCACCCCTTGGCTGGGGCCTCACTCATTCTGAAAGGATGTGGGATCTGGGTGGTGGGCTGAGATCAGGCCTGGGTGGCCTCCTGACTCCCCAGTGCACAGCTCCCGGATATCCACAGGCCCGCGGACCGTGACCATGTCCCCAGCCCTTGGTGCCAGCTTGCCCTTCTCCCGACCCCCTGCTTGATTGTCCCTGGGTTGATGGCCCTGAGCTGCCATCATGGTCTTTTGAGTCCACAGTGGAGGGCTCTTGGGGGTTCCTTGGGCCATGGAGAAGGAGGCCTGGTGACCAGTCAGCCCCCCAAAGTCCTTGAGGTAGCCCAGAGTGTGCAGGTACCCTTGAGCTGGCCAATGACACATCTCATCGGTCCACTCCACGCCCTTCACTGCTTCGGCCACCAGATGCCCTGGAATGTTGCCCACCTGCCCCCTACACTCTCCACGGTAGAAGCCATTGGGGTCCTGAGACCCCCACACTCTCAGTAACTGCCCTTTCTGGAAGGCCAGCTCTTCCTCTGCAGCCTGGGGGTTGGCAGACATGACCAGGGGATCGTAATCAAAGAGGGCCATGAAGACCCTGGCTCGTGTGTCTGGCCCCTGCCTCAGCCATGCGGGGCCAACCCGGGACATCTTGATGACATGACTGGACAGAGCCGGACAGAGCAGTGAGCTGGGCTCGCGGACCTGGTGCTTTCGGCTACACACCAGCTCCTGGTCTTGAATGCTCTGGGCCCCGAGCGCCTCCCACTGTTTCTGTGTGCTCCACACAGGCAAGCCTACCTCCTCTGCCGCCGACAGCTTGCAGCAACTAGACAGATACTGCTGGCTGGGTCCCTGCTGGGCTGCACGGGATTCGTGGGCAGCTTGCCTTTGACTAAAGACCTTCTCTTGGGACAGCTTGCGGTGCCCAGTTACTTCGGTGGGCCCACCCTTGGGAAAGGGATGGAGAGACCCGGAAGAGGGGCTTTTGTTGGTGCCTACATTCTGAGAGTGTTTTCCTCCAGTGGATGCCTGGCTGCTGGGCAGTAGGGGCCTGGGATCCTGGAGACTCTTCTGGAAGAGTAGGTCCTTCCCACAGGCACCCCAGGTCTCTTGGGGCCCCTGGGATTGGCTGTGGGTCACCGAACTTGGACTTTTTCTTTCTGTACGCAGGCTGGCCAGGGAGGAACACCTCCTTGGAGTTTCTTGAGGCGATGCTTTTAGAAGCTCCTTCTGGGATTCTCCACGGCTTCCAGGAGTGTAGGGGCTGGCCCGGGCACTCCGAGGAGCCAGCGGCAGCTTCCCAGGGCAGGTGCAGGTAGATGAATCACCACGGGTATAGCCCAAGGGAGAGGTCTCCAGCATTTGGTGACAGTTGAAATAGTTTTCTGGAATCTGGGCAGGCACCGAATCCAGGGACTCTCCGCAAAGGGACATGGTTCTCATGGAGACCTTCTGGCACTTTGAAGGCACTGGCAGTCGGGATAAGTCCAGCACGGTGCTCCCGGCAGTAGCATCTGCCACCTCGGCAACCTTGAGCCCGTCAGCATATACCGCATAGCCGGTGACCTGGACCCCGTTGGAGGACCCGGCTGAGTCGATTGTCACGGGGAGCCAGCTCACTACCAGGAGGCCTGGTGAGGTGTGGTGCTCCACTAGTACGTCCAGTGGCGGGTGAGGGGGTCCGGCCAAGAGAGTGGCAAAGGTGATGGTGGAGGACACCGTTTCCCACTGTACCTGCAGTAAGTCCCACGGCAGTCGCACCTCCACCCAAGCCTGGTACTGGGTGGTGGGACGCAAGCTATGGAATGTGTAGCAGCTCACACCCGCTGGGGTCAGCCCATGCTCCTGGCCATTGAGGTAGACCATGTGGGGGTGGCTATTATTGCTGCAGACCCAGGTGATCTCGACGGACGTGGCTGTGACGTTCTGACACCTTAGCTGCATGGGAGCCATCCAGAGGGCCCTCTGTACATCCGTACACTGGAGCAAGCCCAGCCCGGGTGTGTCTGGGTTGGCATCCAAGATCTCCCTGGACACCAAGCATGAATCCCAAGCCGCGGAGCCCTGAGCTTTCCCAGGCAACGAGTTGACACAAATATCTTCCTGCCAAGGTCTGCCCAGTCCGCCCGGGAGTGGGGTGGGGTCAAATCTGGGGGGCTCCGAGGGGGGGCAGCCCAGAATATCACTGTCTGGGACCTGCTCCACCAGGGTGGAGGGCATCAGCCCCTGCTGGTCGTCCTCAAGCTCCACCTCAGTGAAGCCATCCTTGTCCACGTCCCCAAAGATGTACTCGTAATCACCAGTCACGAGGGGTAGCTCCCTGTGGGAGTGCGCATGGGGCCCCTCAAAAGGGCTGTAATTATGCGGCGCCAGGAAAATCTTGAGTTTGGTGGTGGTGGGGGCCTCGCAGCTCCCCACATCCAGGGTCTGGGACACATTGTCAGGCTCCAGGTCATCCACTTCACTGGCGGTGTCCAAATCCAGATGTGGGCAGGATGGCACAGTGGCCCACATGGATTCCATTTCTGAGGAGGAGTTAGAGCTCCCTTTCTTTGCCTGGAGCCCGGAGCCCAGAAGCTCCTCTGATGACACGTGGGGGACACTGGCTGTCTCCCCGAGGGCGACCGGACTCTCTGGCAGGGAACTTTCCATCTTCTGCCTGTCTCTGCTGGCCTGGGGCAGCCCTTGGTCTTCCAGCCCTCGCTGGCACTTGGGCCTTCTGCTGTCCCTGGCTTGGAACTTGGAGACTTGAGTGGCCTCCTGGGGCTGACGCTGCAATGTCTGAATCTCCTCCCAGGAGGCCTGGAGGTCCTGCAGGGACTTCTGCAGGTCGTGTTGCAGCTGTTTCTGGCTGTTCCCCCTGCACGCCGCCTGCTGAAGCAGCTGCTTCACTAGCAGGCCCGTGGCGTCGCCCTCCTGGCACAGGCGGTTAGGCTGCCCCAGCGCACCGCTTTTCTTGGCTACCATCTTCAGGCCCGAGTCCATCTGGGCGTGCAGCCAGGCATTCTCCTCTGCCAGTTGAGCAGCCTCGCGCAGCGCGGCTTGCAGCCGCGCCTCCACCTCTTCTCCGCGCCGCCGCGCAGCCACCACCTGAGAGCGCAGCTCTTGGCACTCCAGCCTCCGCGCCTCCAGCTCGAGCTCCAACGCCTTCTTCTGTGCACTGGGGCTGCCCGCCTCCGCCTGGGCGCTGCCCAGGCCTTGCTGCACTATCAATTGCCTCTGCAGGCGCAACACCTCCCACTGGGATTCGCGCAGCAGCCTCTCCAAGTGGCTGGCGTTGAGCCCCTGGGATCCGGAAGCGCCCCCTCCAGAGAGCTGGGCGTTGTCGACACGCGCCTGTAGCACGCGGCACTCCTGCTGCAGCTCCTCGATTTGTTTGTCCTTGGCCAGCAGCGCGCTCGCCTGCTCCGCCAGGTCCTGGGCGCGCTGGTGCAAGAAGGCCTGGCACAGCTCCGGGACTGGGAGGCTCTGGCCCGGCCCCGGCGCGCTCATGGCCCGCAGGTTGGTTTCCTGCAGCTTGCGCGCACGATCTTCCAGGCGCCGTGCCAGGCCGGTCAGTTCCACATTCTTCATCTTGAGCCTCTGGACCTTCTCGTCCACCGGGCCAGGGAAGCCAGGGCAGCCAGCGCGCCGCAACTGGACGTTCTCATCGAGCAGAGCGGAGCAGCGGTGGTCCAGCGCACGCAGCGCCGCGCTCAGCTCCGTGTTGCGCTTTACCAGCGCCGGGTAGTCCGGGCCCGGCGTCGAGGGGGTCAGGACCTCGCACGGCTGGCTCGTGGGGCCTCCTTCATTCCGCTGGCCGCTGTCTTTTCTGTGCTCCAGCGGTGGCGGTGGTGGTGGCAGTGGTGGTGGCGGTGGCGGGGGTGGTGGTGATGGCGGTGGCGGTGGCACTGGTGAGCTTGGTGGTGGTGGCGTTGGAGGGGAGCCTGGGATGGAGACCTCTGGCGAGGAGGCCAGCTCCCGGGGCTCGGGGGTCTGGAGACAACGCCGAGTGTTGCCGAGCGAGTCAGACTGCGCAAGCGCCAAGGAGTCGAGGGAACTGGCGCGCGGGGGGCGCTGGCCGTGGGAGGTGCTGGCGGGCCCGGCGAACACCAAATCGAGGGAGTGTGAGCGCTCGTGAGTGCTGGTACTCCGTCGGTGGACGAGTCCGCGTGGACAGGCTGGCTCTGCGCTACGGCTGGCGACTTTGGGCCGCGAATTTTCGGAGGCCGGGGACCCCTGAGGGTCTGGGGATTCCGGCCAGGCGGGGCGCCAGCGGAAGTGCTCCAGGATGTACTTGAGGAAGAGCCGGCGCTCCAGGTCCAGAGACGCCTGCAGGTGGCGGATGCGCGCCGCCTGTTCCCCGTCGGTCTCCCAGCGCAGCTGCGCCAGGACGTCCTGCAGGCGACAGCGGCACTGCACGGCCGGCCCCTCCGGCGCCCCAGGGCGGCCGCAGTGGCCGCGGCTCACCAGCTCCTCGGCCAGCTGGCGCTGCAGCTCCCGGGCCTGGCGCACCACGTTGTCCCTCTCGCGATGCAGGAGCTGCTGCAGCTGCCGCAGCTCGGCCTCTTTCCAGCGCAGCAGCTGCCGGATCTCAGCCTCGCGCTCCCGCATCACGACCTCCTGCAGCTGCTGCAGCTCCCGCCTGCGCCGCGCCTCCCACTTGGAGCGCAGGTGGTCGGCCAGCTGCCGCCGCTCCCGCTCGGCCGCCTCTCGCAGCTGGCGCTCCTGGGCCGAGAAGCGCCGCCGTTCCGCCTGCCCGCGTGCCCGCTCCGCCTCCAGCTCGGCCCGGAGCTTCTCCATCTCCCGCCTTTGCTCTTCTAGCACCGCTGCCGCTGGGCCCGGGCTCGCCAGCTTCTTGGGTGACACGCGGCCGCCCCCCAAGGGGCTCGGAGAGTCTTTGGTCATGGTGGCCGCGGCGCGACCAGACGCCTGACCTCGTCTGGCCCAGGCCGCTGCTCACCAACGGCCGCCGCCCTGACCCGACACCAACCGCTCTGCGCGCCCCTTCCGGCGCCCTAGGCGGGGGTGGGGGTGGGGGGGTTCGTGCCCCTTCCGCTCTCCAGGGCAGGTCTCGCACGCCCCGCCAGGAGAACTTGCGTTTCTCGCTACTGGATGTATAGGCTGTCTGGCTTCCTTCTTCCCTGCGTAACCTGACCAATATCCCTCCGAGGCTGTCGGGGTGGGGGGTGGGGGGGCGGGGGCATAAAGTATTAAAAACTGGGTCAAATTTAAGATGGGTCAAAAGGGCGATACAATGATAAGGTGTTACATTTAACAACTGGGCTGCCATCATGGCCTTTACAGGGTTCTATCTGATAGCGAGAGGATTCACTTCCCTGGACTGTGATCAGAGGTTTAGTCCTTGTCAGGATCCTGCAAATGGATTCAGGGCTTCTACAATCCTCCATTAAAAACAAGCAAGCAAACAAAAACCGAGTCAATGCCAACTCACAGTGACTTGATAGGAAAGGGTAGAATTGTCCCTGTGGGTTCCAGAGACTCCTAACTCTTTACAGGAGTAGAAAACCTCATCTTTCTCCCATAGAGTGGCTGGTGGTTTCACACTGCTAACCTTGTGGTTAGCAGCCTAACTCATAACCACTATGCCACGAGAGCTCCCTATCATCCGTAGCCTTCTGCAAACTGAAGATTCAGATATTAAGCTCTGATGCTGTTCCCTCCTCCGGAGCAGGATTTTATTATGATCCTTGGATCACACAGGCTGGTGTGCTTCTTCCTGTTGGATTTAGTTGACACTTCACCTCCACTTTTTTCTTTTTTTTTAAACCTTGGAACATGACCCTGGTGATCTGCCCTAGGCATCCTCTCGGGCTTTGTGCAAGCCTTTGAAGCCAAGGTACTCAGGAAGCCCCTAACCCAATCTTTGGGACTGGAGAAAGCAATTGTTGGGGTGAAGCCCATGGCTGGGGCATGAGCAGAAGCACATTGGCCCTGTCTGGGTGCACGGGCTTTGGAGTGTGTGGGCATCTGGAGGACTCTTGTACTCCCTGTAGTCTGGGAACAGTGTCTGAAGTTCTGACCTGCCTGCTTCAACCTCACCTTTCCATGTCCTATAAGAAAACCCAGAGAGATTTCAACTCTCCCCACCACCCCCAGAAGTATCTGAGTAGTATCTGATACAGCCTGGCAAATTCTGCCTGCAGCATCCCTGAGGATGCTTTGACCACATTTGCTCATTGTCAATAGGGCAGCCCTTCTCCCTAGGACTACAGGAGACCAAAGCATCTGAACCCACTGCTCTTACGTTGACCTGGACCTGCCACGACCCTCTGTATGGTTTCCAAGGCTGTCAGATCTTGACAGGAGCCCAGAGCCTCATCTTTCTCCTCAGAATCGGCTGGTGGGTTTGAACCGCTGTCCAGCCCAACAGTCCTCAGAAGGGGCTGCCATCACAAAGGAGCCAAGGAGGGGAGAAAACAGACTAAAGGTGAAACTCAAGGGTGCCCGGGTGCCCAGCAAAGTGCCAGTACTATCTCCCTGGAGATGACATGGTCACAGAAACTCCCATAGCCTCCAGCAGCAGGTGGTGGTGTCCGGTCGTGAGGTCTGTGAGCCTGTGGAGGTCAACAGCCCCTCACATTTCTCCATCGTCACGTCCACGTCTTCCTCTGTAAATCCGGCCAACAGTGCAGCCCACTCCAGCTATGTGACCACGGGCCATTCCCTTCCCAGCTTGGAGCATCGATTGGGTTCGGTGAGGGTGCCGGCGGTGGGGTGTCTCCTGACAGGAAGGGTCGGGGATATCTGGGTTTCCTTGCAGAATTATTTTCCAAGCTTGGTCTGGATAACCCTGGTAGGTTGTTACTTCTCCCCGTCTCTACGCCATGGACATACTGAGCGCGCCACCTCTCAGGGATGGTGAGATGAGAGGCTCTGGGACCCAGGGCTGGACATCAAGGAAGAACGGCACTGAGATCTGGGTCAATTCCCGTCTTCTCGCCAATGCTGTCCCTTCTTGCCAATGCTGACCCTGCCAGCTTCTTACGGGCACCTGAAGGATCCTTCTGGCTCTTGTTCAGCTTCAGGCCTTTGCACGTTCTCTTTGCCCTGGCATCATAGCAGGCCCCCCTGGGGACGCAATGCCTACCATACGTCATCCTCAGTGTTGGACCACAAACCCGACCCTCTGCCACCAAGTCAATGCCAACTCACGGCGACTCTACAGGACAGCTCCTGTGAGTTGCTGAGACTGTAAGTGTTTATGGGAGTAGAAAGCCTGCCTCTCTCCGAAGGAGCAGCTAGTGTTTCCGAACTACCGACCTTGAGGTTAGCAACCCAATGTGTCACCAGGGCTCCTCTTAGTGCAGCGGTTCTCAACCTGTGAGTCGTGACCCCTTTGGGGGTCGAATGACCCTTTCACAGGGGTCGCCCGATTCCTCACAGTAGCAAAATGACAGTGATGAAGTAGCAACGAAAATAGTTTTATGGTTGGGGGGGTGGGTCACCACCACATGAGGAACTGTATGAAAGGGTCAAGGCATTAGGAAGGTTGAGAACCACTGTCTTAGTGTGCAAACACATGCCATATAGTCCTCATTAAACCTCTGTGGAGCCGGTGCCGCTGTGGCAGAAATAATGCCAGAGATGGATTTAAAGGAGCTAAATATAGTTGCTCACAGTTTTTTGTTGTTAGGGCCCATGGGATCAGTTTCCCCTCATAGTGACCCTATTAAGGCAGAAAGAAATACTGCCCAGTCCTGTGGGACCCTCACAATCATCACTCTGCTTGAACCCGTTGTGGCAGCCACTGCGTCAACCCATCTCAATGAGAGTCTTTCTGCTTTGGGGCTGAGCCTCCACTTTACCAAACATGATGTCCTTCTCCAAGCGACTGATCCCTCCTCATAACACATCCCAAGTATGGGAGATGAAGCCTTGCCAATCCTCGCTTCTAAGAAGCATTGTCGCGCTGCTCTGTCCAAGATAAATGTGCTGAGTTTCTGGCAATCTGTGATCCTTTCCATTTTCTTCTCTAACGTCACAGTTCAAACACACCCATTCTTCTTTTGTCAATTGCCCAGCGTTCACATGTTTACGAGGTGGCTGCAGTATCAGGGCCGGGGCAGGCCCTCCTGGCAACAGCATTGCACTTGAACATGTTCAAGAGGTCTTGTGCAGCAGATGTTCCCAAAACAGTATGTTACTTGATCTCCTGAAAAATGGGCATTGATTGTGGAGCCAAGCAAAAGAAAATCCTTGATGACGTCACTAGTTCCTTCATTTCCCATAATGGAACCTCTTAGTCAGTTGTGAGGATTTTTGTTTCCTTTACAGCAAAAAACCAAAAAACAGCCCAACCTAACTCATTGCCATTGAGCGGATGCCGCTGACTCATAGCGACCCTTTGGGACAGGGTAGAACTGTCCCGATGAGTGCTGAGACGGCAACGCTTTCTTTTGTGTGTGTGGTCCGATAAACAATTTTTACTTACATGCCAACAATATCATCATGTAGGTAGAACATTCTTAGAAATGTACAAAAAAGCTACTACAACTAAGAAGTGAGTTCAGTGAGGTCACAGGTTACAGGCAAATTTGAAAAATTAATCATTATTTTTAAATAGCAGCAACAAACGAGGCGGCCTGAAAGGCAAACGCAGAGATGCAGATGTTTGTGAAGACCCTGATGGACAAGACCATCGCCCTTGAGGTGGAGCCCAGGGACACCATGGAGAATGTCAAAACCAAAACCCAAGACAAGGAGGGCATTCCCCCGGACCAGAAGCGTCTGGTTTTTGCTGGTAAACAGCTGGAGGATGGCAGCACTGTCTCGCACTACAACATCCAGAAAGAGTCCACCCTGCACTTGGTGCTGCGGCTGCTTGGTGGCATCATTGAGCTGTCCTGCGCCAGCTGGCCCAGAAGTACAACTGCGACAAGAGGATCTGCCACAAGTGCGGTTCACCCACAACCTGCGTCCCAAGAAGGTCTCATAAGGGCCCCTGTCTACCGGCTCTCCTGCCCTCTGCCAGTGGAGTTCTCCTGAACCCAATGGCCCTGGGTCCTCAATAAAGTCTCACTTTCACTGACCTGAAGCAAAAATAAATAAAATAAAATAACAGCAGCAAGCAACTTAAAACTTCAAAAATCAGCAAGTTATTTCTACTGACATAAATAGTATGAAATAACATAGGGTTAAATTTAACAAAATATGCGGGAAATCCATATAATAAATGTTGAGATAAGACCCACTGCCCATGGCACAAACACCATTCCTCTAGCTCTTTAGTACTTCCTCCCCACCAACTATCATGAGCCCAGTTCTACCCTACAAATCCGGCTCGATCGGAGCATGTACACGGGTACAGGTAAGAGCTCTCGACGCACAGGATCCAGGACAGATAAACCCTTCAGGAACAGTGATCTCATGAGGGTAGGGGGGAAATGGGAGGAGAAGGGGGAGAAATGGGAACCGATTACAATGATCAACATATACCCCCATCCCAGGGGTGGGGGTGGAGGGGATGGAGACGAACAACAGAAACATGGGTGAAGGGAGACAGCAGACAGGGTAAGATATGAAAATAATCACAGTTTATAATTTATCAGGGGAGGGAGGGAAAAAAGAGGAGCTGATACCAAGGGCTCAGGCAGAAAAAAATGTTTTGAAAATGATGATGGCAACATATGTACAAATGTGTTTGATACAATGGATGTACGGATTTTTTGTTTTGGATCCTTTTTTTGTGGCTCATACAGCTCTTATCACAATGTATGGATTGTATTAAGAGCTGTAAGATCCCCCAATGAAATGATTTATTGATAATGAACACAACAAAAAGCCATTGCCCATTGAGTTGCTCCCGACCCATGGCAACCCTTCAGGGCAGAGTAGGCATGCTCCAGGGACCATCACTGTTTGCAGGAGTAGAAAGCCCCCTTTCT